GCGGCCGGTCTGTATGTGGGATCCGAACCCTCGGCGGGAGCGCCGCCACGCTTCCCAAGCGGCGCACTGTAGCAGTGCGCCACCGGGCCGGCCCAGAGGTAGCTTTTTTTCAGCATAATTAAAATAACAGTTTCTCCAGGCATGCTAGGAGATAACTCCTGAGTGGAGGGGAAGCAAAAAGCTTCTTGAAATCTCTAAATTTTTATACTCTTTGCAGGAACTGAGTAATGTGGACATTTGTTTCTAATTTAATGTTCTTATCAGTCCTCCCTTGTTTTAAAGCAGAAAGCAAAATCACCTGTATTTCTAATGATATTATTTTATTGATCATGGTAGATTTGTTCAGTTCCTAAAGCCTGGTTAAACAAAAAGAAAACACAAAGTTTTAAAAAGGCCACCAACAATAATGGAGGTATTGGGGGTGTTAGCAGAACAGAAATTCTGCGGGGGGAAGGAAAGAAATCCCGTGGGGACTGCCAGTGCTCCAGCTCCCAGCTCAGCTCCCACAGTCCCCTGGGTGGGCGAGGGTGGCCTCTGCATCTCACAGGTGGTAACTGCAGTGGCAGCCTTGACCTGGAAAGCATGTGCCACAGGTATGCACCTTCATAGCTGCCTGACCTACAATAGCCAAGTTACCAGCTCAAGAGGGTGAGGACCAAAGGAAGGTCAGGGACACCTGTCCAACTGGGCCACCGCAGGGCCTATGCTTGTGGAAATTGGGTCTTCCTGTGGAGAGGCTGCCTGCTGGTATGCAGAGAAAAGGCGGTGCAGTTTCTAAAGTGAGGTGCAGCCTGGGTCATGAGCGTGGTGAATCAGAGAATACAGGTCTGCAGTTGGTGGCTCTGCAGGAGGGCCAGCCCAGCAGGCGCAATCACGTCTCTCCCCCATTTAGTGGCAGGATGCTGACACCGACCAGCTCAGTGTGACAGATTGGACACCACGAGTAGGACAGACTGAGGTGTCTTCTCTTTGGGGAACTGACAGGCAAGAATAAACCTGTGCTTTAGGGTGTGAAGCCACCTCCTTCAGGCTACTATGGGTAGTGATGTTATGGTTCAGTGTGGCCACAGACAACAGAAAGCTTCAGAAACCAGCACCGTTGTGCCTCTTAGAACACAGACACAGGGCAGAGATGGTGACCCTTGACTCCTGCAACTAAGGTCTCTTTGCTTCTTATTTTCTCGCCACAGAATCAAGAGGCTGCCCTGAGACTCTCGGCCACACTGTGGGGATGTCCGAGAGCCCCATCGGACCCAAGTCCACGATGCTTCGGGCCGACGTGCCCGTGACACCCTCATTTCAGCAGGCTTTTGCATCTTCCTGCACAATTTCAAGCAACGGTCCTAGCCAGAGGAGAGAGAGGTAAGAAGATGGGTCTTTAACCTTGGCACAAACTCCCCTGAAAGACCCAGCGACCCAAAGGTGGACAGAGGGGCTGGGGACCTGCCAGGGCTCTCCAGCGGTGCTGCAGCGTGGCACAGGAGGCCGGGGCTGTGCACACCACCCTGCTGCTGCTCACAGTACGTGCTGGCCTGTGGGAAAGGACAGGGACATGCAGGAAATAGAGGGAAATCGGTCTCAGAGGGATTGCAGGAACAGAAAGAAAGGGAGGGAGGGAGGGGCTGTGGACAGAGGAAAATGTCCTATTTCTGCTCTACAAAGACACTGCCCCTGAGGAAATTTCTCTGTGGGGCCACTCCCCTTGCCCCTGCATAGGACTGCATTTCATTGCGCTTTATTGTATGGGCACACGGCTCTCTTTCTACTTCATTAATTCTGCCTCCTTTCTCATTACAATAAACAGGGACCCTCATCTAAGGATTTGGCATCACACGTAGACTCTGTACCCAATACCTGTTATCTGTGTAATGTGTGCGTGTAAAGTGGTGTGTGGTGGTGTTTCAGCTGTCTTTCCGCACTCCTAAATGTGTGGGGATTTCCAGTCTTCCTAGTGGTATCCCTTAAGCAGCTTGCTCATCCAGAGGCATTTATTGGAAATTGACCCAATGTCATGCCCCAATTTTAGCCATCAAGCATAGAGGAAGGAAATAAGGAGACAGGGTTTGTTCTGTGAGGAGAAGCCAATGCCCGGAGCACACAGGGCCCCACTGCTCAGGAGAATGTGTGGCTGGCACCCATGCATGGTGCTGGAGCTCCCAAGACGAGGGCACCCCTGATCCCATGTGCCCACACATTTGCAGCTGAGGTGCTGAACAAGGGCTGGAAAAAGGTTTCAGAGTTGGGGACACAGTGGAGATTAGTCTCAAAGAAAGAAAGGGACTTGACCAGGTGAAGAGCGAGGAAGGAAACATGTGGGAGGCAGGGGAGGCTCTGTAGGGGCTTGTCAGACACACTGGGGTCTTCGTGGGGCCATCGCCCCTCAGTGCCCTGGTGAAGGATCGGGCATCTGGGGGCGAGGAGGGGATGGAAAGGCAGGCAGCATGTGCTCAGGGAGGGCCTGAATTCTCACATTTTGGCAAATACCTCCTGTGCTGCAGAGCAAACCTCACACCCTCCTCCCATGCCCGTCCTCCTCAGGTGGGTGACAGTGGCTGATGTGGAGGTATCTGGTTGTACCTTACGTTCTCTTTGCTTGGTTTGTCTTTTGAACAGCCCGTCTTCTGCAGAGCGCCAGCGGGTGGACAGCAGCCCCAAGTCCACTCTCTCCCTGCTGGGGAGCGGCCGGCCCACAGGAAGTCCCCTCGGCACCAGCGAGTTCCCTGGCCCCAGCAAGGACTCCTCAGTGCTATCCTGCTTCCCACCCTCGGAGCTCCAGGCCCCTTACCACAGCCATGAGCTGTCCCTGGTGGAGCCGCCAGACACTCTGTCCCCTCCGAGCAGCCAGGCCTTCCTGGGCTTTGGCACCAGCCTCATGGGAAGTGGCCTTCCACTTAGGGAGGACCCAGGCGCCTTGCTGGGCAATTCCCATGGAGTGTCACCGGCTCCCGGTGCCCCGCTGACAGCAGCAGGGGCTGCCGACAATGGCTTCCTGTCCCACAGCTTTCTCACGGCAGCTCCTGGACATGGCAGCCAGCACAGTCCCGGCCTGCAGGGTGAGGGGGTGACCTCGGCCGGGCAGCCGCCCCTCCCTGAGAAGAAGCGGGCTTCAGAGGGGGATCGTTCTTTGGGCTCGGTCTCCCCCTCCTCCAGTGGCTTCTCCAGCCCCCACAGTGGGAGCACCATCAGTATCCCCTTCCCGAACGTTCTTCCGGACTTTTCCAAGGCTTCAGAAGTGCCCCAACCTTTGCCAGGTAGGTGTGTCTCCACCAGATGGAAGGGCCACCTCTGTCTGTTCACTCAGGAAAGGAAGGGTTTGGGATTGACAGCGTGAGCTGGCCTGCGAGCACGTCTCTAGTGCTGGCCGAACACCTGGAAAGAAAAGTCCAGAACCGTTAAGGAGTCTTTTCCATCTTGCTAGCCCAAAGCCATGTACCCTGGGCTTCTCATTAATTCTCACAGCCTTGTGCATTTATCTACTTTACACCCATTCCACTTACAGAAAGTGCAGACATTTACAGTCATTCTATTTTCCCTTTCACTTGGGAACGTCGCTCTTTGAAAATAACTTTTTTTTTTCCAAATTAAATGAATTCACCCAAAATGTAATTGTGAACTATTTCAAGTGTCTGAGAAATAATAACATACACTGATTAAAGAACACGGACCTTGCTCCATTTGCTTGCTTTCTGAATATTTTAAAAATGTATTGTGAGGTCCTGATCAAAGGATCGCGTCGTTTTGTTCCGTGTTACGAAACAGTTGCTGCCGCCTCCAGCTCAGTCATTTCAAATGTCGGGTCCCTTCCCCTTTCAATGTTCGCATCCTTGCTTACCCCTGGGTGTGGATTTGGGCTTCTAGGATCATCCCAGATGAGAGGTTGTAATAAAAAAAAAATGCCCTTCACAGTCGCTGTTTTTAAATTTGCTTTTCAGACAGTCCAGGTGATAAACTTGTGATCGTGAAGTTTGTTCAAGACACTTCCAAGTTCTGGTACAAGGCGGATATCTCAAGAGAACAAGGTATGTGGGGCGGCGAGGGCGTCCTTGGACCTCTGTCCTACGGAGCCCTGCAGCCTTGTGTGAGAACAGTCCTGCCAGGGGATGGCAGAGGACCACGGCCTTGGCATGGATTGAATTAGAGCAAGGCCTACACTTCATGACACACCTCCACGGGCAATGCGGTGACTGTTGAGTGTTTATAGGAAAAAGTCGGTACTACGGGGGGTTGGTGAGGAACCAGCACCAGCTGTGGGCATTCCAGTGCGCGGGGCATAACTCCTGGCTGCTCCCATCAGCCAGCACTGCCAGCCCACGACAGCCACCTAGGATAAGGAGATTCTCTCATCTGTGTCTTTGTCAGGGTCCTGAGCCACTGAGGACAAGGCCTTGCTCCACAAAGCCGGGACCCCATGCGTTCACGATCACCTTTTTCAGTCAAGTTGGGAGGACAGGCACTTATCCGAGCACCTCACACACAAACCAGAGAGAACATCTTTGCTTGGTTCTGCCTTGAGAAATTTGAAATCATTAATATTTTTGAGCTACTAAGTCACATGTCACTTTCTTCCAGCACATGAACAGAAGACACATGGGAGAGCAAGGCGAGGGTTCTGTTCAGGGTGGCGGTCCCTCTGTTGGGGGTGAACAGAATTCATGAGTCCTCACAGGGGGAGCAGCTGCACAGCGTCTTCTTCTGGAAATCTGATTTTGGCCACTTGCGGAGCCCCTGGCTCTGGGATGTCCCTCAGAGGGGATGGTGCGTAGCTGGCAGGGGAGGGCAGGCTGTGCCCCAGTGACTGGAAGATGGACTCCTAGGAGATGGAATGGGCCGCAGGACCCTTGGTGGATGCGGGGTTGGGAAAGGGAGGGGGGTGGCTGAAAGCGATCGGAAATGACAGGTTGCCTGCCCGAGTCAGCAGGAAACCCACTTGGCTGCTCTGTGCTTGCATGTCTCAGCTTCAGAAGGAAATCATCGAGCTCTCGCCTTAGGAGGATGCCTCCAAATGCCTGGAGATGAATAGTTAAGTGGCTCCAGCTTGCTCATTGAAATTCTACCACTCAATTACGTAGATAATAGAAATTGTAAGAATGTGCGTTTCTTCCCATGAGCTCAGTGAAGCTATTGTCATTTTAAATGGAAGAGGGAGGAATAAGCCCATGTCCTGGAAAGACTTTTATTTCCCTGAATTGGCCTTTGTGAAAAGCTGCTCGCCACGTTTGAGGGCTCCACTGGGGCCGGATGCTATATTCTGTTGTCACCATCCCAGTCCTGCTCCTGTCACAAGAATCCCATGATTGTGTCCTGCAGCACCTCAGCACCTCATCCAGCTGGACAGGCCGAAGGGTACTTGTTGAGCACCATGTTCTAGAAGATTCTGTGCAGACCCTCCTACTCGGTTGGTGCTGTCTTCTAGACCAGGGTGATGTGCTGGGCTGGGCTGCCCTTCTGGCACTGTGCAACGACATCGTCACAAAGGGTTTGAAAAGTGGATGGGCTTGGGCTGGAGCACGCTTGTTTGATTCCTTGGTGGGGTAGAGAGGAAGGAACCTGCCTCGCAGGGCTGCTGAGAGCTGCTGTGTAGGGAGCATCTGTCCCTGCTGGTGCCTGGGAGATGCACACTCAGTGGCAGGGGCTGTTGTCATCATCTGCCCGACATATTTACAAGGCTTGCTGGGGTGGATCCCATCTCAAAATGGCTAATTTGTGCACTAGGTGTTGATTTTTCCAGCGGGACTCTAAAAGCATAACTTCCTCCATTTTCTAGAGTTTTATATGGAAAACACCTACGCAGACTAACATTTATTGGGTGTGTCAACTTCTCCAAATGTCACAAGGCTACCCATGGGTTTCATTTGTTTTTAACTGTCAGATGTGCCTTTTTCTAGAAAAGCTAAATGACATTTCAGAGTGACAGAGGAGAAAAAAGAAAAAACAACCAGTTAGCCTCTTTTGGGGTGTAACTTGTCACATATCACTATTGCAAGTTTAATTCCTTGGGATTTTTCTACAAAAGTATCTCAGGAGGAAAAAGGGACCATAAAGTAAAATAGAAATAAAGTGTAATCATTCTAGTTGAACCTTCTCAGGCTGTTGCTTCTCTGGATGTCTGTGAAAATAGTCCTTGCAGGGACAGAAGGTGGGAAGAGAATGTGGCCACTTGCTCACCCCCCTCCTCAAATCCTCCCACCCTGCCACTGACTTCAGATGGAGGATGCGACACCAGGGCAGAGCATGCATCTGCTGTGAGCAATGTATAAACGCCAGTTTTACAATTTCAGCACACTGGGCTTCTCAGCCTGTTTCTGTTTCAAAAAATAATGAGTGTAAAATCATGCTCTAGCGCCCCGTTCCTGGCACACGAGGGCAGGGTCCCCTCGTGCCCTCCTTAGGCCTAGCTTCTGGGGATTCGGTGGGAATGTCCTGTGGCCCTGGAGGGGAGACGGCCAGAGCGAAGCTAGTGTTTGCTTTCCTGTGCCACAGATGACCCAAATTCTGAGTCCCACGGGGCCAAGATACCTCATTTACCACAGGGAATTAAAAAGAAGCTCGGGTGAGTGGAAAATAAGTGAGCTGAGATGCTGGGTGCTGATCAAGCTTTATTAAAGGAAAAGAATCTGCCAGGCCACGCTCAAAGTGGAGGACAGCCCTGGGCTGCCCGTAAGATGGAGGACAGCACCAGGTGTGGGGGTGGGACAGCTTATATGAACTGTAGGGCACCAAGGGCTGGCTCGTGCAATCAAGGAGGGGCATTATCCTAATGCAGAAGCTATGCGACCAGGGTGGAGAATTGCGCCCTTGCGGAAGCAAAAATGGTTTCTGTTTCTCAGAAATCATGAGGTTTCTTACAACAGGAGGGGCTGGCATCTATTTTGTGCTTATTGTGTGCAGAATGGCGCTGGTCATGTCTGAGATCCATCAGTGAGGTATATCACAATTGAAAAAGCAATATCTATAAGTGATTTTTCTCCCTACTTTAAAAAAATAATACATGTTCAGCCTCCACATTTATAAAGTATGCTATGAGAATACAGGCACTGGTGTACGTTGATTATACCCAGGTCCTGTGCTCCATCCCGGGAGGCCCCCTCTCACAGCCCCAGGGCCACCTTGCACGGGGGTGGTGTGGCCTCGTTCACAAGCTCTGGCCTCGTCCAGAGGGGCATGTTGAGCTCCTCCTTCAAGGCCTCGCCCTGCACGCAGGGCCACACGCGGGACATTGAAATGCATATGCAAGAAAGTGTTTGTTTCATCCTACAGCCAGACAAATGCCGTGCTTGTGGGTGGGGGCTGGCGAAGGGCCATGTGAGGGGCCTCCAAGAGAGGACACCAGGAAGGTATTTACTGAGGACCAGTGTGGGCTTCCTGCCATTGATGGGTTTGTGTCCTGTTCCCTAATCTATTCCAGACAGGGCCCTCGTCATTCCAGAAAGACAGCATTTCCGTGGCTGTAATTTTGTATAACATTATACTCTTAAATCTCCAGTTTTTTCTGTCTGCTTTTATAAATAAAGAGTAAATGTCTGTAAAAGGAATTCTGGCACTTATTCTAGGTATCAGAGAGAAATTCCAGCCTGGGCAGCATCAGGTTGAAGGTGTCATTCTCTATCCCGTCCTTCTTTCTTTCTGTATCTTGAGGACAGGACTTGGGAGTTCCAGATTTTGACCATGAAGGGGAGAGGTTTTTTTTTTTTTAAGTTATGATTATGATTAGCTAAATGTCTCCCAGCCTTGCCTAGGGAAGATGGGTGACCCACTGTGCTGGGGCCTTCACCAGTGGCAGCCACACCAAAGAGTCCACAGCCCCGGCCAGGCTGGGCTCATTCGGCCACATGTGCCATGAAGCCACAGGATGGGGGGCTGCCTCTGGACCACGTTACCATTCCCTGGGGCAAATCTTAGAATTCGTATTAAATATTTTGTAACCTTTGGGGGTATAACCTTTCTATCTACAATAAGTATGATTAGAAACTTCTTAACTTTTATTCTGTGAAAAGAATCCACACCCTAACATCTTTGAGAAAAATGCCATGCCAGGAAACAGCCCCCAAGAGTGGCCCTGCAGGTGCAGCGCGGCAGCCTTGCCCCCTCTCCCTGCTCTTCCGCTTTGTGCGTGTTTGGACCTGGTCCACTTCCTTACACTGGGTGAGCCTCAGTTTCCTGGGCTGTCATGTGGGGACTACCATTTGGACATCACAAATGCTGTGGGATTAACAGAAATCATTTGTTTTATTTATGGGCAGCACCCAGGACGGTGCCTGACATGTCAGCGTCCTAAAGAGAGAGACATTCCTGTCCCCTTTGCCTTCTCACAGTCAGGGCCATCCCGAAAAAATACACGACACCACAGAGATCTTCCCAAGGGTCCCTCAACTTCATGGACAGAAGGATGACCTTTTGCTTTATCTATGTTCTTCCTCCAGCCATGCAGGGACCCCAGCTGGTTCCCCACTCACCCCCGTTTGCAAAATGAACAATGGGAAGAGCACACAAAGGTCGTGAGTGGACCTAGACCCCTGTCTTCCCCGGCAGACGTTCATGACTCTCTCCCCCCTTCTCTAGCCATTGCCATNTACCACTCAATTACGTAGATAATAGAAATTGTAAGAATGTGCGTTTCTTCCCATGAGCTCAGTGAAGCTATTGTCATTTTAAATGGAAGAGGGAGGAATAAGCCCATGTCCTGGAAAGACTTTTATTTCCCTGAATTGGCCTTTGTGAAAAGCTGCTCGCCACGTTTGAGGGCTCCACTGGGGCCGGATGCTATATTCTGTTGTCACCATCCCAGTCCTGCTCCTGTCACAAGAATCCCATGATTGTGTCCTGCAGCACCTCAGCACCTCATCCAGCTGGACAGGCCGAAGGGTACTTGTTGAGCACCATGTTCTAGAAGATTCTGTGCAGACCCTCCTACTCGGTTGGTGCTGTCTTCTAGACCAGGGTGATGTGCTGGGCTGGGCTGCCCTTCTGGCACTGTGCAACGACATCGTCACAAAGGGTTTGAAAAGTGGATGGGCTTGGGCTGGAGCACGCTTGTTTGATTCCTTGGTGGGGTAGAGAGGAAGGAACCTGCCTCGCAGGGCTGCTGAGAGCTGCTGTGTAGGGAGCATCTGTCCCTGCTGGTGCCTGGGAGATGCACACTCAGTGGCAGGGGCTGTTGTCATCATCTGCCCGACATATTTACAAGGCTTGCTGGGGTGGATCCCATCTCAAAATGGCTAATTTGTGCACTAGGTGTTGATTTTTCCAGCGGGACTCTAAAAGCATAACTTCCTCCATTTTCTAGAGTTTTATATGTGGCCCTGGCCGGCTCTGCCCGGGCGTGCACTGTGAGTGGCTGTGCCTTCCTGTCCATCTCTCCCAAGCTTGCAGTTCACAAGCTCTGGCCTCGTCCAGAGGGGCATGTTGAGCTCCTCCTTCAAGGCCTCGCCCTGCACGCAGGGCCACACGCGGGACATTGAAATGCATATGCAAGAAAGTGTTTGTTTCATCCTACAGCCAGACAAATGCCGTGCTTGTGGGTGGGGGCTGGCGAAGGGCCATGTGAGGGGCCTCCAAGAGAGGACACCAGGAAGGTATTTACTGAGGACCAGTGTGGGCTTCCTGCCATTGATGGGTTTGTGTCCTGTTCCCTAATCTATTCCAGACAGGGCCCTCGTCATTCCAGAAAGACAGCATTTCCGTGGCTGTAATTTTGTATAACATTATACTCTTAAATCTCCAGTTTTTTCTGTCTGCTTTTATAAATAAAGAGTAAATGTCTGTAAAAGGAATTCTGGCACTTATTCTAGGTATCAGAGAGAAATTCCAGCCTGGGCAGCATCAGGTTGAAGGTGTCATTCTCTATCCCGTCCTTCTTTCTTTCTGTATCTTGAGGACAGGACTTGGGAGTTCCAGATTTTGACCATGAAGGGGAGAGGTTTTTTTTTTTTTAAGTTATGATTATGATTAGCTAAATGTCTCCCAGCCTTGCCTAGGGAAGATGGGTGACCCACTGTGCTGGGGCCTTCACCAGTGGCAGCCACACCAAAGAGTCCACAGCCCCGGCCAGGCTGGGCTCATTCGGCCACATGTGCCATGAAGCCACAGGATGGGGGGCTGCCTCTGGACCACGTTACCATTCCCTGGGGCAAATCTTAGAATTCGTATTAAATATTTTGTGACCTTTGGGGGTATAACCTTTCTATCTACAATAAGTTTGATTAGAAACTTCTTAACTTTTATTCTGTGAAAAGAATCCACACCCTAACATCTTTGAGAAAAATGCCATGCCAGGAAACAGCCCCCAAGAGTGGCCCTGCAGGTGCAGCGCGGCAGCCTTGCCCCCTCTCCCTGCTCTTCCGCTTTGTGCGTGTTTGGACCTGGTCCACTTCCTTACACTGGGTGAGCCTCAGTTTCCTGGGCTGTCATGTGGGGACTACCATTTGGACATCACAGATGCTGTGGGATTAACAGAAATCATTTGTTTTATTTATGGGCAGCACCCAGGATGGTGCCTGACATGTCAGCATCCTAAAGAGAGAGACATTCCTGTCCCCTTTGCCTTCTCACAGTCAGGGCCATCCAGAAAAAATA